GTGGGAGCCACTTCTATCATAGTGATTAAGTAGCTGTAATAGGCTGCATCTTTAAAACTACCAAAATAGCACCATCTCTTTCTCTTTCCATTTGGGTTGAAAGGGGGTGAACTCATAGCCCCATGTGACTTGAGTGAGGGGAAGAACTATCTTCCTCTACCCACTTTTAGGCACTGTGGTCCAGAGAATCGAGCTTGGTGTTTTGCTCTGTTTCCTTTGTCTTTTTCAGTTCTAAGTGCAGGTGGTAGAGCCTGCCCTTGACCGGGGAACTCGAGCCAGATCAACCTTGGATCCAGGATTCCAGGTCAGATGTTGCTGCCAGCCTAGAAGTGAACCCCTCCAGTCCCTTGGGACTCCGCTCCGAGGGAGACTTTGGCCTTGGAACTTGATAGGAACATGCTATATAGGAACTGAATTAAGTTGTAAACCTTATCCTCTTCCCCTGTTCAGAGACTCAGGTGATATAGGGGACTTTGCGCTCCCTCCCGCATTGGGGGGATGTTTGTATGATTTTTTGCTACACCTTTGAAGTAAATATTTGTTTGTTGAAGATAATCTGGTAAGTAGTTAAGCTGGGGTGCATGAGACCTCTAAAAACTAGGGTAATACAATTGGCAAAGGTTGGAGCCAATGGTAGAGATATTAGACACCCTGCTTCTAAACTCCCTTAAGAGTACCAGAGAACCCTGGGGGAAGGATGAAACATAACATACCTGAACTTTAAGCAATGGTTGCCAGGGTAAATACTGTTATATTAATAAATAATTCACATTTATGCAGCACTTTAAAGTTTATTTCTGGAGTTATCTATGATATTACCTGGCTAGCAGCATCTTTAAGGCTAATTAATATTCAATATCAACACTGTCTGAGGAATTTCACAGACTATGTACAATAAATTTTTTCTAAAAGAAAGAATAAAAATGAGATGTGACACATAATTAAGACAATTCCAACCCAACCTATTAAATGAACTGTGAATAGACATTCACATAGACTTTTCCTAATGAAATTTAAGCAACACAAATTCATTGCTACATCAGAGAGATTAAAAGACACTAGAAACCATCTCAATTAGCAAATACTTTATCTCTTGCAAAGCAAAAAATTTGTCAGCCAAGGACAATTCCTAGGAATGATATAAACTTGTTTGTAAAATCTTGTGGAGAATGATGGTGGAAGAACATGAGAAGTATTGTTTTATAAAACTGAAAGAAACAGTGGAAGATAAAACAAGTTTACAGAAACTTTGATAAAAATCAAACTAAATCAGATCATCCCAAGAGTATTTGACGATGAAATTAAGACAACAAACAAATAATAAAACGAAAAAGTCTGCCAGAACTTTTATAACAATTTTCTCTGTCGATGACAGGGGGCTACCACATTTGAAAAGATCCTGATATATTGCATGCCGAAGTAAAAACGCTGCTAAAGAAAATAGAAATGGGATGTGCAGCTTAACTAGACCAGATATGCTCTTTGACTTCAACAAGCTGTAGCATGCCCAGCAGCCATACCCCAGTAAAACAGTCTCTGCAGACGGGTGAAGCCAGGTTGAAGGTTGACAGGCAAACCAACATGAGTTATGGGGATGTATACCTGCAGCATGCATGAAGACTTCCCCCATCAGAATGGGCAGATGAGAACAATTTGTTCCAAAGGCTGAAGGTGGCTGAAGCAGGCCTTGTGGAGTGCTGAGAACTTGGTCAGGCATCAGAGATACCAAGGGCATCCACTGCATCCTGGGCCATGGCCAGTTGTCTTGACTTTTGTCCTACTACTGGGCTTTGATGACTTTGAAAGACAGAATGAGGCTGAGGACTTCACACAACTCTGTCTCACTTAAATCCAATTCACTCACAGGTCAAGACATCACCCATCAACATCATGATGTCATTGGTCCTCTTTGAAAACAAAAAATGAACAACAACAGCAACAGCTTTGAAACATTATTAAGATATCCGAAGGAAGAAAGGTGCTTAGGGAAAAAAAAATCACAAATGTAATAATTACTGCAAAAAAAAGTTGCCATCAATAACTAGAAATAGAAAACATCAATACCCAATGACCCATATACCTATAAGTTCTGTCTAGTCTGACTAGTCCAATCTCATTTTTACAGCTGAGTAAAACGTGACCTAAAGAGGTTAAGCTCAAAGTCACAAAAATAGTAAGCATTAGAGATGGTATTTGAACCCAGGCACTTTGGGAGGTATTGGGTATACAAAATACAAAGAATGAAACAATCCTATTTTCAAGGATCTGATATTCTATTGGAGGAGACAAGTACATTTATGAACATATGCAGAACAAATATAATCAGAATACATACAAGGTAGTTAATGCAAATAAGGGAGCACACTAGCAGTTGGGGAAATCAGGAAAGGCTTCCTGTAGAAGTTGGAGCTTGAAGGGAAATGTGGAATTCTAGGAGGTGAGGGTGAGGAGGGAGTGCATTCCAGGAATGGGGGGCAACCTGTACAAAGGTGGGAGATGGGAGTGTACCTTGTGAAGAATGGAGAGGAAGCCTTCTAAATGTTCGCCTTCTAATATTCATTCCCATTCTACAAAATTCGCCAAGTACTTAGTGTGGATTCTGAGTTATCCTTGTGGAGTTTACATTGTCATAACAGTAGATGACCTCTAAATTCCTTCCTAGGTCCAATCCCAACATCTCATCCTATGTTTTTCCATAATTTGAATTCAACTTTTTACTAAACCAAAATCTTCACAAAGTAATTAATTTTTCCTAGCTCTTGTCAGGGGTTCTCTGTTGCAGAACGTACAGACTACAGACATTGAGACCCAGTCTGATTTTATTCTATAGTTGTAAAGTGTTGCCATTGTGTTTAGTCCCAGAATTTACAGAGAACATTACATTTTATGTATTATGATATCACAGAATATGGCATATTTTGGGATGGACACTGACACAAGCTATGATGCTAGCCACTGTCCTTTTAATAAATTATACTTGTTGAACAGAAAGAGAACAACATCGTACACAGTAACAGCAATATTGTTAGATGAAGAATTGTGAATGACTTAGCTATTCTTAGCAATACAGTGATCCAAGACAATCCCAAAGGATGAAGCATACTATCTGCCTCCTGAGAAAGAACTGATAGTGCTTGAATATGTGCTATTTTTCACTTTCTTTCATTTTTTTCTTTTATTCAAGTCTTCTTGTACAAAATGACTAATAGGGAAACATTTTACATAATTGCACATGTATAACCTATATCTGCTTACCATCTCAGTGAGGGAGGGATAGAATTTGGAACTCAAAATTTTAAATAAAAATGTTTTTAAAAAGTAATGTAATAGCAAAAAGAATAAAAATATTTTAAAATAAATATGTAGGGAATCTCATATGCTATAATTTCAAGTGTCCCAGGAAATAAGTAATATATGGACTAAAGTCAAACCTCTCCTTGCTCTTTGAGACTCTTGAAAGACATCACTGCCCTTTCCTTTTCTTTGTTCTGTGGACTGAGAAATCTGGCTTGATCAAATTATGAAGTAGCCTAGAAACACATATATTAACTTCCATTTTTGACAAATATTTTTATTGCACTCAAAATTTTTTTCATTCAGGATTTTGAGCAAGAAAAGGCCTTTAGAGGTCATCTACCCCAATTTCCTCATTATAAGACAAGGAAACCATAGTCCAGAGAGATGCCCAAGAGCACACAAATCATCAACTCCTAAAAGGAAGGAGGCTGTGCTGCTTCAGTTACTAATAATAGATGACATTCATACAGCACTATAAAAATTTCAAATGCCTTTACCTGATTTTATTTGATCATTAAAACTGAGAAGTCAATACTACAGATAAAAATTATCCCCATTTTTTTTTTTATAGATGAGGTAAATGAGGCTCAAAGAAGTTCACTGACTTGCTGCCATTGTGTTTTTTAAAAGCAAGATTCAAGTCCAAGGCTTTCTGCATGAAATCTCACCTAGCAGCCAGTCATCAGTCAATCAAGTCCCTCTGGGCCCTCTTGGCCTTAGGAAGGGGGAATATGAAGACAAAAAGTGGTACAGTCGTTGTTCTTAACTAGGCATTAATTGTTTTTTGAAAAGTGCTTTTCCTATGAAGGGAACTCTGCCCAGTCACCACTCCTGGACAAGTCACTTCTCTTTCACCCTCAGTAAAATGTCCTGACACACCTCAACAAGGCTGTGGTGAGCATCAAAAATGGCTTGGGGAAAACCGTGAAGGGTAGGCAGTACATTTTAAAAAACATTATTTATTTAAACATTCATTAAAAAAAAACAACTGAGTTCCAAATTCTCTTCCTCCACCTCTTCTCCACCCACTGAGAACATAAGCAATGTATCAATTATACATGTGAAAACATCATTTCCATACTAGCCATGTTGCAAGAAACAAAGTGAAAAAAGTATGCTTTAATCTGCACTTAGAGTTCATCAGTTCTCTCTCTGGGGAATGGATAGCATTTTTCATCATGGGTCCTTTGAAGCTGGATCATTGTATCGATCAGGGTGTATAAGTCTTCCACACTTCATCCTCGTACAATATTGCTGTTATTGTGAACAATGTTCTCCTGGTTCAGGGCAGTCGGAATAAAGGATGGAGTCAAAGCTTGCCTTACTGGCTGTGCACGTGCATTGGAATACTCTTTCCATAAAGATTTCTCCCTTCCCAGAGGCCCTCATTAAAACTACTCCCAGCTTCACCTCGACCCTTAACAAGAGGCCGGAGGCAATAAGCTCCGCCTCTACCTCTGCCCCTCCACTATCCCATCCCCCCTCCGCCAACCGTCTGCCAGCTTCAATTTCACGCGCGTGCGCAGACGGAGGTCAGCCACTATGACGGGGGTGCCGGAGAAACCGGTGGGCGGAGAAAGCGGGCAGGCTGCGTCCCGTGCGCGTGCGGTGCGTGCGCGGCTGCGACTGCATGTGGTGCGCGCACGCCGCCGCCGACGGTACCTGGGTCTGGCTGCTTGCCGCCTACCGTCTCGCTCGCCGCCGTAGCGCTACTCTGTCCGCCTGCTCCTGGGGCCCCGGGGCTGGGCTGCTTGTCGAGTCCCGGCCGCCACCTGCGGGGTGGTTTCCTTCGCCCAGGGGGCGGGAGGCGGGGAGTGTCGCAGGCCGCGTGAAAGGGGGTCTTTCTCTGTCTCCGCATCCCGCCAGCCGCATGGGAGCCACCTGGAAGGTCTGAGGGGCTGGGAGACAAGTTGCCGTGGTAGGTTTGTAGACGTGGGGCCTGTCAAAGTCGGGTGCGGATTTCCTCTCGGGGAAGAAGTGGGAGGGCGGGGGCAGTGTCGTGTCCCGTGTCTGGCGGGGCGGTGGGGCGCCCGGCGGGCGGTCGGGACTGGGGACGGGAATCCCTGGTTGCAAGATGGAGATGGAGCCGCCTGGGAGGACTGGGGAAGTGCTGCAGCCTCGCCCGGGGGCCTGGGGTGAGGGGGCCGTGCCTCCTCGGAGCCCGTAGCCTCTGGAGCTCGGGGAAACCCCTCGGATTGGGAAAGAGTTGGCTGGTACGACATTTATTGATTTGCTTTTTTAAAAAACCTCAAATCCGTGATTTTTTTCCCTTCCCTTTAAAATCAGATTTTGGCAAACCTTAACAGCTTGGAAAGTGTTGGCCATCCAGATAGGGTCTTGATTACAGTTTGCAAGCTGTTTAAAGAAGTCGATAAATGCACTTAATAAGTAGGCTTCGAGAACAGCAGACAGGCAGTGCAACGTTGCCTTTTTAAAAGTGTGTTTCCATTCAGCTTTGGCGACATTCTTGCCCTAATTTCTTAATGTGAATATATGCTATTGCTGGGGGTTTCTAGGCCTAAAGGCAAATGCTTTAAAGTTTCGTGTCAAATAAGAAAGTTCCCTTCCTCTAGAAGCTGAGAGCTTATGGGCACAAATAGGCAAATGTCCAGAAGACAAAGAAGGCCGTAATTTATTTTCTGCTGTTCTATCATAACTTTCCAGTGGTTTACTCCAGGATTCAGAAGTGGTTTTTGTTTAGTGCTGGGCTGGAGCTTTTGGCGGAGATGAGGCAGACCCGAAAGACTTTACATTTTTACTGGACTTTGATGGCGGTTAGTGATGGAAAAGTCAGTTTTAAAAGTTGTGAGATCCGAAATTTCTGGGGTGTAGGATCTGAGTCTCTCAAAGAAAGTAAGTTGGTTTCTCAGGTAGTTATAGAAGGTTTCTTTAAGTGTTCTATGAAGTTCATAAAGAGTTTGCAATTTTTATGTTGTCAGTAATGAGGACATTTAATCTGCAGGACTATTTGGGAAAGTGAAAGAAAGCCTTTGTTTTATAGAGGATATCTCACAATGAGAATTTAGGACAGTCTTTTTGTGTGTACTTGAAAGACTAATGTAGTTGGAGTTAACATGTATAGAAGAGCATATTCTACTTGAGTCCTGCTGCTTTCACTGCACCATTTTTAAAAAGTCTGCCCTTTTTCTCAAACTAGCCTAAACAGTTCATTTCATAACTCCTTTGACCTTTAGTCCCTTCTCCCCTCCCCCCCACCCATTCTCAGTTTGTATTGACCTTGGCTTTAGTTTCCAGCATTATGGCTGTCAGACTACATCCTTCCAAAATCAAAATTATTTTATTCGTTAAAGGAAATCTCTACTAGACTGTATTGCCCCCAAGCTAGTGTCCTTCTCTTTTTCCTCTTCCTCCTCTTTTCAGCAACTTTTTTTTGGTGGTCTCATATTAGAATGTAAGTTCCTTTGAGGCAGGCCTGGCTCTCTTGCTTGTGTATGTAACCCTACGGCTTAGCCCAATATCTAGAGTCTAGACTATGGGAGCAAAACACCAAGGAACCAATGGAACACCACACAGAGAAGTAGGCGCTAATATTGACTTTGAAATTGTAGTTTCCTCAAACTTAAGTGAGGTATGTAATATATTTTTGTATCTGTGTGAGAGGTGTAATGACTTATTTGATGAGTGCCCAAGACAGCTAGTGGGTTTCAAGCCCTGCCTCTGACACAGGCTAGGTAGTGACCTTGAATATAAGTCACTTAACTATTCTGTGCCTCAGGCAAAATACTAATATTAATAAAAAGGAGTTGTTGATCTTCATTCCCACACTCCAGTTTTCACCACTTCTGGTAGAGAGAGTTTCCCACACAGATGAAATCATAGGTCAGACATAGGCCATGACACTTGGGCCTGGAGTCAAGAAGGCCTGAGTTCCAGTTTGTTCTCAGACACTTACTAAGCTGTGTGGCCCTGGGTAAGTCACTTAACTTTCATCACAGTTTTCATTTCTATAACTGTAAAATGGGGATAATAATAGCACCTACCTCCTAAAGTTGTTGTGAGGATTAAATGAAAAGATAATTGTAAAGTGTCACAATGCCAGCACATCGTAGGAGCTTAATAAATACTTGTTGTTTCCCCATCCACCTCCTCTCTTAGAGGCATAAACATTTGGTATATGCTAGCTGTGCAGATAAGAATCTGATGATTGTTTCTTATCTAAGAGAAGTTGAGTCAGTATTTATTAAGCGCTTACTATATGCTAGGTACTGTGCTAAGCTCTGAGACCACAAATAGAAAGTCCTTGTCCTCCCAGAGCTTACATTCTTGATATTTTCTGTTTTTTACTGTCACCATAGTATCTCAAGTATCCTTCCTCCTCCCTCTCTCCCTGAGGGCCATCCCATATGACAAATGGTATTTTTTTAGAGAGGAAAAAAAAAACCTGCCACAACTAGTAGACACCTTGAAAACGTCTGAAAACATGAATGTGTAGCACGTATGAACCTCCCCCCTCCATGAAGGGATAGGTTGGGGGTGTCTTCTCATACCTCTTCATTCCGAGTCCTGCTACTTGATCTTTTAAATTTTGTTACATTCACTTTTGATTGTTCTTTCTCTTTACATTGTTGTGGTTACTGTGTATGTTATTCTTTTGACTCTGCTTACTTTACTCTGCATCAGTTTATGTTACCTTTTTCCATGTTTCTCTGTATTCATCACACATCATTTCTTATAGCACAATAATATTCATGTACCACAATTTGTTTAGCCCCAGAGTTTGCATTCTAATGGGAGAAGACAATATATAAACAGAAGCTGAAAGGGAGGGGAAACAGTGACTGACACAAAGGTACCTTGACAGGTGCCTGACTTAGAGGTATAGTAGAGAAAGTCTTAGTTGGTAGTGCAACCTGCAGTATAGGTTGGAGAGGAATGAGACATGGCTGGCCTGGATGCCCTCCCTGAATGGAATTGTCAGGGGAGATGTACAGGGTGGAGGGAACTTCCAGTGTGTGAATTCCACATCTGGAGTGAGCTTCAGAAACAAGAGCTGCAGAATGAAGTTGAAGGCTTGAGGTGAAAGTACATACTCCTTTTAAAATAGTAATTGTCAGAGCAAACTGGGCGGTTCCAGGGTCATTTTATCGGTCAGTCAATATTTACGGAGTTTCCAAAGTACTGTAATAATTGCTTGGGTCATACACAGTTAGCTAATGAGCTATTTTTTTCAACCTCAGTTTTCTCATCTGCAAAATGAGCTGACTAGATCTCAAAGGTCATTCCAGGAAAACACCCTTACAACACTTAGAAAAGTAGTTGTTTTCCCCCACTGTTAAATTTTATCCCAGGTAGAGGACTTTTTTTTTTTTTTTGGTGAGGCAATTGAGGTTAAGTGACTTGCCCAGAGTCTCACAGCTAGTGAGTGATCTAACTACCCCCATATTTTTCTTTCTTATACAAATTAATATAAACAAATAATGTTTATTTTTGTACGTGTACAGGCCATGGAGTTAGGGAAAACCTGGTTTGTGCCTCAGATAATAGATGTGTGATTGGGCAGGTTTTTTAACCTTGTAACTTGTTGATCTGCTTTGGTGGAGGAAGCTTCTATGCTAGAAGTTTCTTACATTGATAATGAAATCACAGGTTCTGATAGTCCCTCACTTCAAAAACTGAGAGAAAATTGATGAAGTCATTAGAATTGGGTATAGCTCTTTTATTTTAATGAACTGATTGTTTAATGATAAAGTGGCTGCTATTTGTGGTAGAAGGATGTAGAAATCTAGGCTTCTGATGACCTTGAATAAAAAAGTAAGCTGGGACTTCTGTATTTTCTTGGTGCTGTAATAGACTATAAAAACAGTCATCTAGACTTCAGTAGATCTATGATTTCAACAACTGTGTGTATTTCTTCCATCCAGAGTGTCTTCTTATGTGATGATGTGTGGTTCTTTTCCATGTTCTTCTGTAGATCTTCCATAAAGAATCCAGTCAACATGGAGGGAGGCCTGATTTTAGTGTTTCTGCATCTAGGGCTAATCATCTGCTGTCTTTTTCTCTCACCAGATGAGCAGCTCACCTGTCTTATATAGCTCATTTATATATCTTATAACACTTCTTATACATAGGTATATATACATTTTTTATTTTTAAAAATATATTTTTATTGATTTCCTTAAATATTTCCCAGTTAGATGTAAAAAATTTTAACATTCATTTAAAAAAAATTTTAAGTTCCTAATTCTCTCCCTCCTTCCTGCCTTTCCCCCCTCCTTGAGAAGGCAATTTGATGTTGTTTATACATGTGAAGTCATGCAAAACATTTTTCATATTAGCTCTCATACATAGGTATATAATGGGACCTCCTAATACAAGAGTTTTTCAACCTGTGAAATAAACTATGTTTTGCTTAAATATGGAACTCTTGATATCATTAATATAGATGTCCTTTCCAACAATACCGAATTGTAACCCTTACATGCTTGCCCTTGACGTGCTACTCTTCTCTGTATCTGCTGTAAGCTCTCCCCAGGGGGTCCATGCAGCTTGTTGGAGGCCTTCTTCATTTTGAATTAAGAGAAAATTAGGTGATGGAGATGGGGTCTGCAGAGGTTAATTTTTAATGCATTGTTGGTAATGGAAACTGGGAACGGAAGAACTATTAAGGGTTGAAACTGATTTTCCTTTTTTTGGGGGGGGTTCTGTGGTAGGGGATGGGAAGTGACAGAACAGAATTTTTTAACAGGATGGTCTGTTTTAAATTGAGATTTTTGGTCTGTATTATATTTGTAACTCATCTTGATAGAGCCCCTTTGTTACCATTTGGAAATTTGATATGAAATAGTAAACAACCTAGTTCTCTTTGTTCCCTTTGGGAATTAGCAGGGTTATTAATTTTTAATTTCTTTGGGGTCTAGTTCTATTCAAAATTCTCAAATCTATAGCATTTCTATTCCTTCCTTTTTAGAAAATAGGTGTAAACAAGACTTCTTACCAACAAACATTTTTCCTTATAATTAAGATTATGTGGACAGGAGCAGTTTTTGTCTCTGAAAGATCTTTTCAGTTCTTAATAAATGTTTAATACTTCAAAGATCAGTGATTTCATTTAATAACCTAATTTTGTTAAATAATTAAATGACTGTTAATAACAATTTTGACTAATCTCAGTTCCTTTTTCCTTTTCCAGTCTATTTGAAGTGAGTTGATTTTGGTTTTGGCATACATTTATTCATTTATTATTATTATTGCTATACTGTAGAAGTAACTATCACATGGACACTTATGGAACACCACATAGATAATAGTATTTATCATTGTAGGCAAACATCCTATAGGATCTTGAGGATCTATCCTTGCCTACATTTTGATTTTTTAATTTAAATCTGAATGAGAGCTCAAAATGCAACAAGTTGCTCTAGGTCTTAAATCCTTACTTCCTGTTTATCTAAATGGTCTTACCAGTTAGGGCTCTGTTTTTTTTTTTTTAATGCAGTTAAAGTTTTTCAGAAGATAAAACATTGGGGGTGGATTGGGGAGGGATGGTACCCTCAAGACAAAAAACAGACCTTTATTTGTTAATAAGTCAGAATGCCTCTATGAGGAAAGAGAGTATAATATTTATGGATGTGTGCATTCAACCATTTTGTCAAGTTCAGCACCAGGAATCCAGCCATACCCTCAAAGAAGGCATATTATTAACAGCACACCAGCCACGTGTGCTGCATGGCTCACCTGTTTGTATGAACAGATGAACCTGTTTTATGGAATGGAATCCTTATTCCTCCCTTTAAAATTGTATCCTATTTGGATAGATGTTTACTTTTAGATGGGACTGAGTTTCTTAGGTCAAGGGAGTGTGTTCTTTGTTTGGTACATTCCATCTGTTGTAAAGTGCCATACACATTTACAGCTCAGTATAAATAATAAATCATAATGATGAAGAAGCTTCTATTATGCAGGAACTGTGGTCTGTTAAGGAAGAAATAAGAAAAGTACTTGTGAAAATTATAATAAAAGAGTAAAAGGAATCCAGGAATGTTGTCAGCATGATTCTGCTTTCAGTCTAACAGAATTTTCATTATTAAAATCCTTCTGTGTTTTTAGTAATTAAAAAGAAAATGACCACTCTATGAGATTACTAGGTCTTTTTTTTATCCATATTCTTTTTTGTTTAGTTAGGCCATATCCTTAACTAGAGTTATTGTCATGGTAGATCCTATACTATAATATTATCTTGTGTGGAGTGTTACCTAACTCATCATGTTGTTATTACTTCCTTGATTTTTGTGAATCTGTTGAGATATATATATGTATATATTTGTTTACTAAATGTTCTGGATTTTGCCTGATGGCCCAAATAATAATTGTGATAAAAACAGTTTTCTTATTGAATACTGTCATATAAATGTATGTTTATGTATATTTATACCTATTTATATCCTTTTATTTTGGGTAGAAAATGATGCATCCTGTTGCCAGTGGTAATACTGCTTTCTGTGGGCCTGGCAAGGCTTCCTGCCTCAATGAAGACAATATGAGAGCTGCTGATCAATTTGACTTATATTCCTCTCAACAAAGCAAATACGGCCACACGGTCAGCCACAAACCAATTGCTTGCCAGAGGCAAGACCCACTAAATGAAACACACTTGCAGGCCACAAGTGGCAGAAGCATAGAGACAAAAGATGAACTCAAGAAAAAGAAAAACCTCAATCGATCTGGTAAACGTGGCAGGCCCTCGGGGACCACCAAATCAGCCGGATACCGAACCAGCACAGGACGACCCCTTGGAACCACCAAAGCGGCTGGATTTAAGACAAGTCCAGGCAGACCTTTGGGTACAACTAAAGCTGCAGGATACAAAGTCAGCCCAGGGAGACCTCCAGGTAGCATTAAAGCTCTATCACGACTTGCAAATCTAGGTTATAGTTGTGACAGTGCTGCTTTTCCTTATCCAATGGTACATAGCCGAGGAATTCATGGAGTTGGGGAAACGAGCAGCAAGGTCAAACAGCCCAATGAGTAAAAGAGGCAGAAAAGTGAGATCGTGGTTTTAAATGAGGACTCAAAGGGTAACCAAAGTCTCATGTTGGTTTGGTTATGACATATGTGATTTATGACTTGAGATTTCCAAATTTGTTGGTTTTTGTTTTGGGCTAGAAGACTGCCACATGTTGACAGATGTGACCAAGTAAATGCTGAAAGGGCATGAGGATGTTTCAGTGTTTGTACATAGGATTAAGAGTACTCCTAACTGAATTATTTCTGTTTTTTCCCTTAGAGAGTGATACCTATGTCTCATATTTCACTCCTATTGTTGAACCATTTTAGATGGATAATTATGCACTAAGGAGTTGAAATAAGCAGGAAACTTATGCCTATTGGCTCATGAAATAAGCCTGCAACATAATAAAGATCCCATCTAGAGGAATTTTCAGTTGATAAAGCAAAATAAGCTAATGATTTAATACCATTTAAGATAACAAATTTGAGTTTTGTAACATTTGTTTTTATGAAAGTTGGAAGCATACAGATTTGTCTACTCTTGCAGTTACATAGGCCTTCCTTAGATGATTGTAGATATTCAGAAATTTGGAAAACTTGTTTTTTAAATGCTTAGTTCAAGCGGTTTCTTATTTATTAAGCTTAGCATTAGCTAATTTAACTGATGTCCCAAAATGTTTCTTTAGTATTTGCCTTTCAGTGATGGCAGGACATTCAGCAGAACTCTTATTGGAATCTGTTGTGTGTTGTTAAATTGCCTATGAGCATGTATACCAAACACTACAAATAATATTTAAAAAAATGCTATTTTATAAATAACTTCATAGTAAGTTTTTAACATGATACAATTCATTCTAAGAATAGAATATTTAATGAAATGTAAAAAGACGTGTTCTTAAAAGTCTGCATATAACTACAGCCTCTGCATTTTGCCTTTTGTGTGCATAAATGGCAATTGCTAATGTATTTTAAAGAATTAGTATGTTTACACATTGAATTTGTTTTCTATTAGTGTTGCAAAATTTTTCAGAATAATTTTTTCTAGATTTTTTGAGAATAGTTTATCCCAATACAGTAGTATTTATACTGTAATTAAGTTATATCTAACCAAAGGACATGTGTTTTAATGATTCATAATAGCAAGCTAGAATACACAGTGCAATTAACTGTACTGAGGAAACTCAAGTATTAAGAAATATATAGGAATTGCATCTATGCATGAAAGGTGGAAAAGTATGTTGGCTGTTTAAACTAGAAATACCTTTCCTGGCTCCATTGAGACCACTTCATTATCCAGAAGAAATGTTTTCATTTTCAACTGTTTGTTTTAAAAATGAAACTACATACGGAAAAGTTTTATCTATCTGTATGTGTATGTGTGTGTGTGTGTGTGTGTGTATATATATATACACACACATATATATACATGCACGTGTGTATATATTTTTGTGTGTGTGTATATATACATATATATATATATGGAGAAGAAAGAGGGGAAAAGTAATCTTCTGTTCCCCAATTTTGAAAATAACATCTGTGACCTATATATATTTACTTTATTCTGAATAGCTCTAGGATGAGTTAAACATATCAGACTTTGGGTTTGAAAGAAAATTTCCTCAAAAATTTAGTTTACAGTAAGAATGAATGTGTAATTTCAAATGTCTGTGAGACTTTTTGATGGTTGTAGGTTTGCAGTTCTAGAAAGGTTTTGAAAGACTTTAGAACTTTGAAAGTGAATAAATTGTTATATTTGGGCTTGCTGTTATTTAATACAAAATCTGATTGCAGTTATGATGACATAAGAAATGGATATCATATTTCATACCTTTCTTATTAGGAAAAAAGCAGCAAGCCTTCAGGTGTTCCAGTGATGCCTAACACATAATGAGCTGGACTTTATGCTGTGCTTTACAGTAAGAGGTGTTGAATTATATGTGGGGACTATGTGTGCACTGGCAACTAAGACATTGAACCTCAACAATCTTAGCATTGCACAGACCATATAGAACAATTTTGGATGGCTACTTATATTGATTTGTAACCTCATGGCAGCTAAATTGCTACTAAACCAGACTTTCTTCAGGTCGAGGCTTTTGAATCTGGTCCTGTGTTCTATTTCTTAACAAATTTAAATATAAAACTCTTAATTATTTACTCAGAACAGTGTAACTTCTGACGCATAAATGCTTTTATTGTCATTAACATTCACAATGTAATTGTCATTTAACTGTTTCACTTCATAATGCCGAGCAGTGTTTTGAAATTTTTGAACTAGTTTGGAAAACATCTATTTAATTGAATGATCTAATTGTGGGAATGAGACATTCCACTGGCAGAGATTTGGTTGCATGTTGCTTTTATATTTTAGAGTAAAATCAACTTCTTCCTTTCCTGTCAATTTCTTTTTGTGCTTGATTTTGTTTCTCCCTTTATGCATCTACTCAGTGGTGCTGTGCTGTGTGTCAGAAGGCAATACAGATGTATTATTGTTATGCTAGTATAATGACTTTGTATTCCAATATATTGAAACAGTGAAATCAGCTAAAGAAGATATGTCCATTATGGTGTTTATTAATATCAGGAAAAAAGGGGGGCAGTGACAACAGTTATGGATAATACCAATTAGAACCCTGCTTTTGCAGTTCATGTGAAAGGCTGCCTAAAGAATTGGATTTGTGCACTTCTGAACATCTCCTGATTCCAGTTTCTTTTGAACAATTTTATTGGTGCCATGCTGAAGAGAAAGAAGTTTAAGAGAATGAAGTCTTAAAATATGTTTTACTTTTATATATTCTACCAAGTACATTGTGGTTTTGTTTTTTTTTTGGGTAACACTGTCTTTTGTCATGATAAACACTGAAATAGCATGTTAAAAACTGCCTATACTTTGAAATGGTCAGTGAGAAAAGAAAATGGCCTTTTCCCCCAATTTGATCGTTTTTTAAACGTGAATTGCTCATTTTATACTATGTAACTGCTTTTCATAAAATAGGATTCACTGTTCTGTATTAACACTGTTGGTCAGAATATGATCTAAAATATAAATAAGTTTGTTTTAATATTTTTTTCTTTTTCAGTATATTTTTATGCCTTATTTATGAATAAATGAATGCTTTAGATCTTAAATAAGGAGCCTAATACATATGTTAATTACCCTGGATTTGCCAACAAAATGAATTTTGCTTAACTAATCTTTAGGATCAGATGATATTACTATCTCAAGTCTTGCACTGGATATTTAAAAATACTGGCACCACATATTGGCAGAAAAAAATTAATAGGACATTGAAAGACTGAAGACTGAAATTCAATATTTTGGATTGTATTTTAAAATCAGGTTTCAGATTGACTATGAAGAAGACCCTTCTTTACATTATTCTTAGTTTTAAAGATAAACATTTATCAAAGTAATTTAACTATCCAGTCCAAATTGATGAGTATTTGTATTTGTGTGTACAAATAACAATTATATGCACAATCATTCTAAAACAGGATATGAGGATTTTTGAGTTTCTTTAAAACAAAAACAAGCCCTGGATGTAGTTGATGAGTAACCAGTCCATTGTAAGGATAACTTTAAGATGTGATATAAAAAGAGAACTTTACTTTTACATATTAAAAAGCTTTAAAGACAGACAATTCAGGTGCTTATAGTAGTAACTGCAACTCTGTACTTCATTACTAATAGATGTATAGTAAAATTTTATCACATTTTTTTCAGTAAAATCGAATAATTCAGAAAACTTATTCAAAAGATTTTTCATTTTCAGTCAGGTTTTGTTCCCTCTATATTCTTATATTATCATAGTACATGTATTTTTAAATATAGCTTAATTATATGTTTATAAACTCGAGGAAGTATCAGAATCTTTCTTTGCTTTTTTTCAAGTATATATGACTATGATCACAAATATTAATTTCATTTTTGAAAATTAAATGATATAGTAAAATCATTGAAATTTTGTTTTGTAATCCGACCACTTTGATTCTTTAATTTTTTATGATTTACTTTTCCCACAGATAATTATGGATGAAATAATTACCAGTTAACTAATATCAGCACACTGTCCTCTGCTGTAAAAAGTCTGATAGATACTGTGTATGTTTTTATGTCCATGAACTTGAGCTACTCGTGTGCAATTATGTGTATAGGAATGGAGTAGTGTTCATGATTTGTATCTACATCATCATATGGATGTATATTTATTAATAAAGTCATTACTTTAAAACCAAATACATTTATACTCTTATTCCATTAAATGGGATTTTATATGTCAAAATTATTTGAGTAATTTGCAGAGACTAAACTAAAATATTTTATCCTAAGCTTTTAATAAGAGGGGTATTTTGAGAGGAGGGTTAGTGGTGAAAGGGTATGTGTGGTACAAGAGTGGAGATAAAAGTGTTAACCCTTTTGATGATTGCCCTTGATTTGAATTTTGCTCAGAAGACCTTTGTTCAATTTCTGTCTCTGATGCTTATACTGTCAATGTGATATTAGGCAAGTCATTTAATTGCCCTTTGCCTCAGTTCCTCATCTGTAAAATGATGGAGTTAAACTAGCTATCCTTTAAGGTCCTTTTGAGCTCTTCAGTGTCTGATCCTCCAAACCTTCTGGAACTTTGCTTTCTGTTTTCTACAAGAACAGATGTGTATTTACATCTTGATAACTTTTAAAAGCTTAACTTGTAAATAGATGCCATTTCTTTCCACTGAGAGCAAGGTGATTTAGTTTTTCAAAAAGCTTGTTTATTTTTAAGTTATTCTTTAATCTTAAATAGCCTAATGTTAGACTGTAAATCAGTAAACATTTAAGTGCCTACAGTGTACCAGGTACTGTGCTAATCGTTGGAAATACAAGAAGAGGCAAAAGAGTCCCGGATGGCGTTCAAGGAACTCACGTTCTAATGGGTGAGATAAATAAGCAAACAATTATGTATTAACAAGCTAAGGAAAAAATAGGTAATGGTGAAAAGAGAAGGCACTAGAATTAACTCAAAGCTTCCTGTGAAAGATGGGATTTTAATTGGGACTAGAAGGAAGCTAGGGAAACCAGTAAGTATGCCTATTTATGAGGAGGGAAATCATTTTAGGCACGGGGGACAGCCAGAGACAACTGAAAAGTGGGGTTTGGAGGGTGGGGAGGGTAGTAAAGTACTTTGAATGATAAACAGGATCCTGGAAGTGATAGGGAGCTAGTGTGGAGTTTATTGAGTAGAGGGCTAATATGGAAGGACTTTAACTTTAGGAAAATCATTTTGGTGGCCCAATGGAGGATGGATTGAAAAGGGGAGAGACTTGAGGCAGGCAGACCCACCAGCAGGCTATTGCAGTAGTCCCAAGTGTGAGGTTCTGGGGGATTGAACCAGGGAAGAGTCCATATTTGAGAGATGTTGCAAAGGTGAAATTGACAGGCCTTGGCAACAGATTGAATATGGGGGGAGGGGGAGAATGAGAACTACTGAGATGTTGAGGATAACTTTTAGGTTGTGAGCCTGAGGGACTTCGAGGATGAAGTTGCTCCCAAGAGTAGTAGAGAAAGCAGGAGAGGGGGAAAGATACTGAGTTTAGTTTGGGACTAATGAGTACAAGTCTTCTGGACATCCAGTTTGAGATGTCTGAAAGGTACTTGGAGATGTGAGATTGGAGGTCAGCAGAGAGGACATGGCAGGAGATAGGTGTATTTGAGAATCATCAGCAACAGATGGTAATTAAATCCATGGGAGCTGATGAGATCAAGTGAAATAATACAGAGGGAGAAGAGAAGAGGGCCATGGACAGAACCCTGAGGGACACCTATTGTTAGAGGGCGGGATCTGGATAAGGATACAGCAAAGGAGACCTAGAAGGAGGGGGTTAAATAAGTGAGTGGAGAACCAGGAAAGAGTGTTGTTATGAAAATCTGGAGAGAAGAAATTATCAAGCAGGAGAGGGTGAACAACAGTGTCAAAGGTTGTAGAAAAGTCCAAGGGAATGAGTATTGAGAAAATGTCCTTGGACTTGGCAATTAAGAAATCACTGATAACTTTAGAGAGATCAGTTTTAGTGGAATGATAAGGTCAGCAGCCAGATTGTAAGGAATTAAGAAAGAAAGTGAAATAAGAGAAAGTGGAGTCACCTGTTTAATGGGCTTTTTCAAAGAGTTTAGCTGTAAAGGGCAGAAGAGATAAAGAACTATAGTTAGCTGATATGGAAGGATCAAGGATCTTTTGGGGATGGGGGAGACATGGGCAGGAAAGCAGTAGGAAAGTAGCTAATAGGGAGAAATTGAAGATATGTGATAGAGTGGAGAAGACAGACACATTCTGAAGGCCTTGTGACTGTCAAAGTAACTTAAAATATAAAAACACTTTTCCCCCTTAATTGAATGATTACTTACTTTTTTACTTTTCTTAGAAGGATACAGAGAAATTTCCATAAGGACAAATCTCAGTAGAAACAGGAAATACCATTTGAAGTTGCATCAAAAAATCTGTGCAAATAATTGCAATTATTATCAATCTTTGGAGTATTTTAATTCTGTTGAGCGAACTTATTGAGTATCTGTTATATGTAAATCACTGTTGGGTGAATTTCAAGACTACTAAGAATTCATCTCTTTTCAAGGATAGGAATTTACTTAAAAATTGTTACATATGCTTTGGAAATCTTATTGAAATTGTTGAAATTCATTTATGTTTTATTCGTTTACATACATGGTTGTGATTGATTGGGTATGCTGTTTTTGAGGGACACTCAACTGTTTGTACTGCAGATGTATGTGTATCAGTACATCACCGCCAATAGTATTACTTATTCCTGTTGCATAATGTGTTAGTACATATTTTAAAGATAAATTTCTCTCGATTTTTCATTTTAGAAACTATTTGCTTGTTAATTTCGGTTATGTTTACCAGAAATCCAATTTAGGAGATAATACAGAAAACAAATGCTTAGAATTGATAAGGATCTGTCCAAAACCCAACAAATTGTGGCTTTCTAAGATGAGAGAAGAAAGTCATGTTTAGCACTAGCAATCCATAGGTGGGACCTATAAACAGTTTTTTTCCTTGCATAACCCCACATGCCATGATGTTAAAAAATAAAGAACTGTAAGCTACTGGGACTCACATGGCGTTTGATGTCTTTGGGCAGGTGATTTACTCTAGGTTTTAAATTGACACAAACATTTAGACGTATGGTGATCTGTAATCATAGGAAAAAGAAAGATCTGCTTTTGTGTAATGTAATGATGTTACTCATCTCAGTATTGGATGCATTTCTTTGGGTCGTGTATTCATAAGATGGGAACAAAGTGCCTTGGTATTAGTTTGCATAGCAGGTGAAGAGTACATTACCACTAGCTAGATACTCTGATGATTTTCGGAGTGCTGTCCAGTGTGGTGTTCACAAATGTGATAAATGGCACGTATGATGTTGTTTACCAGAGAGAAAATTTTAAATACTTTCACGAAAGGTAGATGCGGGAGATGGAGCTACCAGTGTGATTTTTCTCTAATTTGGATTCTCCCAGGGTTGGTTCATTATTCATTGTCCATTTTGGTTTCTTTATTCATCAGCAAAGTGAATGAACTGGATTAAATAATTTCTAAACTCTCTTCTAGATCTAAAAATACTAATCTACATGATCTTTATAAGTTAATTTATCATTTTAAAAAAATCTATAAGGTTCTGGATTATAAATTAGTTTTTTTAAAAAATATCAGTCAATAATCATGTATCAAGTTCTCACCATCCTCCAGGCATTCTACCAGGAGCTAGGGAAGCAAAGGCAAAAATGAATGGTCCCTTCATTCAAGGAGCTCACACTCCACTGGGGGAAATGATTCATCACAATAATCTTGTAAAATCAGCTGGAATTTTAAAGCCCATTTTCTAGTTAGGATAACTAAATCATTTAAAGGTTCAATGACTTGACCTGTCAGGTGCTGACCTGGTTCATTTGTAATTAATAGTGGGTTTTTAATCAATAAGCTGTTTTAGTAAAGGGCAGATTCAAAAGCATTTTGCTCCTTTTTTAAAATAAGCATCAGGTGAAAAATCTTCTATTAAGATTCTCTTTGGTTTTATGAAACATAAGAATAAAATCTTGCCTGGTGTGAAAGCAATATAGTTTTAAAATGATACCATCTATGGATCTAGAATATTTTATTGTCAGTTAACACTAGTAACAGGTTATTAGTTGCTACCATTATTTCCTCTTGTATAAAATTACTTGTACTGGATTAGTCAGCCCAATTTATTACATTATTTCTTAATTTGGTATATTGCTGTATTAGAACTTGGGGCCCATCAATATACTCTATCCTTGCACTCCCTCCCATTTCAGAATACTAATCAACTATACTTATAGAAATGGAAAACAGCACTAAGAACCATGGAAATATTAACGAACAGTGGAAATATTAATATACAAATGCTTCCACATTTTTCCATATACCAAATTAAGGAGAGATGAAAAGGTATGAACAAGCTTGGTTTGGAGCTGGTGGTGGGAAGTGAGGTGGAGACCTGGTTCCTGGCAAGATAAATTGAGCTCACTCTGAGTCCAGGGTGGTTCCAGGGGCAGAGTCCAGGATTCTTATGGAGATGCTGGCCTGAGTGGTGGTAACATGGTACAGAAAGGGAATTTTGAAGAAAAATTGTAGGCTAGTTTGACTATAACATATGTAAAAGGTGAGTAAAAAAAAAAAGATTCTGAATAAGTAGCTTGGAGCCAGATTGTCAAGTGCTTTAAATGCAAATGCAGAGTTTGACAAATGAGAAGGCCCTGAACTAGGGTAGTGGCTATTAGAGAGAAGAGAATGGGACACTGAAATGTGGTGATAGAACTGGTAAGACTTGTAAATATTGGATGTAGTGTGAGGGAAAAGGAAGAATCAAAGAAAACTGAAGTTGTGACCCTTGGTGACTGGAAAGGATTATGTTGTCTTCAGTCAAATAAGTGAGCTTAGGGTATAAGGTAACAACTTCTATTGGTAAGACTGTGAGCTTGAGATGCTGAATGGTCTTTAAGTCAGAGATGTATAGTAAACAGTGAAATTCAAGACAGATTAAGACTGGATTTGAGAGTCATTTGTATAGACATGACAACTGAACCCATTGGAGTAACTGAGATTGTCTAGAGGTTGGAGACAGAAGAGGATCTTGCTGTATGTCACCTACTTTTCATACTGTTAAAAGGGATATTTGTGTGTAATTGCCTAGATGATATCAGATCATAAACAACTTCAG